GAGGGAGGGAGGGGGCAGGCGCTGGGGGAGGATGAGGGGTTGGTAGTTAGACAGGTGAGAGGAGACTATGTCCCACCCGTGGGTGACCTGTCCTGTCTGATGCAGGCCCAGTGGCCGAGTGGTCTCTCCCCCCATCTCTCTCCTCATCACTCCCCTGAAGAGCCTGCCCTGCCCTGGGTAAGTGTCCAACGCCTTCCTGTCCTGAGGTCTTGATGCTGTCCCGCTGGCCTGGAGGGCTGGCAGCCTTGTGATTTGAGGTAGGTGTAACCGTCTAAAGAATCTGCCTTCCTCTTGCCTCTCCATCTGCCTTTCCTATCCTATGTTTAGAATGTCTGTCTGTCTGTCTCTGTCTCTTGTCTTCTGCTAGTCCGAAACTTTGAAGAAATTACTTGTATGTATGTATGTATGAACATCTCACCAACCTGGGCCTCAAACTTTTGATTCTCCTGCCTCAGCTTCTTGATCAGCTCTGTTATAGGCCTGGACTACCAAACCTGGTTTTTAGAGCCACCAGAGAGCTCTGACTCACTCATTCCTGAAGAGGGTGTGGGCAGTCTCCCCATCCTAACTCTGGTTTTCTCACCCGCCCCCTCCCGCTCTGTGTGGCAGGAGCAGATCGCTGTCAGGTTGTTTGACCAGGAGAGTCGTAGCATGTTACAGAAGGGATCCGCGGCCAGCACTTCTGGGCCTCACCCCGATAAAACCCCCAACCTCCAGGAGCTAAAGATGCAGGTGGGCCTGTAGTGACGGCACCTCTGGCTTCTGCACCATGAGAAGACTGGCCGGGGGGAGCCGGGAGGACAGGTGGGGGAGACGACCGTGTGGGGAGACCCCGTGGACACAGCGGTGACCCCTGGGGTGCTCTCTCCCACCGCAGCGCATCAGTGTTCTCCAGCAGCTCCTGCGACAGGAGATAGAGGAGCTGGCCGTGGGCAAAGGTGCCCCTCCGAATGGAGGCTCTGCTCTAGAGATGCCCGAACTCCAGCCCCCGCTGGCTGAAATTTCTAGAACTCTGACTGCTCCAGAACACAGTTCTGGAACTTCCCTTCTCGGACTGTCGAAACCCTCTGGTGTGACAGGGTCATTCCTTGCCGAAGAACGTGAGGAGCCACAGGCTTGCCCCGGGGAGGAGACGAAGGTGGTTCAGCCCAGCTCTGCCACAGAACCAGAGCCCCCAGAGCCATGCCGGATAGCTGGGCCGGAGCCCCCAGAGCCCCCAGTGCCATGCCAGATAGCTGGGCCGGAGCCCCCAGAGCCCCCAGAGTCCTGCCTTCCGGCACTGCCTGGACCCCTTCTGCCTCGTTCCCAAGGACAGGCTGGACCCCTTGGGGCCTGCCCCAGGACAGAGCTGAGACCGTCGGCAGCCTGCTCTCTGGAAGCTAGAAATCCAGAGTCTGGCTCACAGTCCTGTTGCGGTCAGGGGTCTCCAGCAACCACCAGCTTGACCTTCTCTTCACAAAGCCCACTCTGTGCCAGCCCCCCTCTCCACTCACTCCAGTCCTCTCGGTCCCCAGCAGGCCAGTCAGGTAAGGAATTGGCTGGGAAAGGGTATGGAGCAAAGCTTCCATGACCTTGGGAGTGGGCCCTGCCTTGCACTGGGCAATGCTATGCTTTCTTTCTTTTTTTTTTCTTTTCTGTTTTGGTTTTTCAAGACAGGGTTTCTCTGTGTAGTTTGGTGCCTGTCCTGGATCTCACTCTGTGTAGATCAGGCTGGCCTCAAACTCACAGAGATCCGCCTGGCTCTGCCTCCCGAGTGCTGGGATTAAAGGCGTGCGCCACCACCGCCCGGGGAATGCTACGCTTTCTTTCCTCTGGCTCCCATTGAAGAGTTCTCCTGCCCTTTGCTTCTAACTGGCTGTGCTCTTGGGGGAGGGGAAGAGTCAGCACCCGGAGAGACGGTAACTGCAGAGGGTCTCTACATTCCCCATGGCCTTCAGGCCCCAGCAGTCTAGCCCCTCGAACTCTGGCTCTGAGGCAGCGCCTCAAAGCCTGTCTCGCCGCCATCCACTGCTTCCACGAGGCTCGCCTGGATGATGAGTGTGCCTTCTACACTAGCCGAATCCCGCCTCCTGGGCCCACCCGGCTCTGCACCAACCCTGTGGCCACGCTGCTTGAACGGCAGGATGCCCTGGTGAGTCTTCAGTTACAGCCAGACCATACTGCCCGGCAAACCCACGGGACAGAGCCGGGGGCCAGCCTTGCCTCCTTTACCAAGAAGTAAGGGGACGTGACAGAGTCTCTCTCTCTCTCTAGCGTTTCATTCCAGTGGGTTCTGTGGTCCCACAGGACTCTCCATCGTGACTCCAGCCTCCACGGAGCTTCTGTTCTGCTTCGGCCATCCCTTCCTTTTTAGTCTTATTTATTGTTGCTCTGCCCATTGGACTGAGAGCCAACACCCTTTTACCCTTTAATAAAGTTTCTGTAAACTGAGTGAGTGTTCCAATAGGGCCGCTGCTGCTGCTCCTCTCCAGTGGTCCATGTGGTGGCAGTGTGCTCCAGTGAGGGGACAAAGTGAGGGGAAGCTGTCCTGTCTTCCCACGCCCGCCCAGCCACCTTCTCAGCAAACTCCTGAGTGCCTTCGCGGAAATTGTGGAGCCTGTTCTGAGATCAGTCTCACTCCAGGGCCCACCAGCTCTTTCCTCCTCTCGAGTACCTCTGTCAGAATTCTTAGTTGGGCACCTGTGGCCCTAAGCTACTTGGAAGCTGAGGCAGGAGGATCACTTGAACCTAAGAGTTGGAGGCCACCCCGGGCCAAAAACTATGACCCATCTCAAAAAGAAAACCCACAAAGAGACCAGTAACAAAGGCGAGGGAACTGCTAGAATTCTCTTCCTGTGCAGGCCCACTGAACCCAACTTTAGAATCTCTTCTACATCAAAGCTGAAATCTGCATCCCTCCCCCTCTGGAGAGGCATGCCTGGCCAGGCTTAACTGTATATAGATCAATCTCTTAGTTGAGGTTGAAAGCGGGGGTGGGGTGGGGAGTCCTTTAAGGGCCTCAGGCAAAAAGGGTCAGCCACTGTCCTTCCCACTCTGTGCCAAGGTAGGCAGCCACACACAATCCCCAGCCTCACTTTATTGAAGAAGTAACAGTATCTGTAGCTCCAGGACCTAGCCTGGAGAGGGGTGGGACAGGGACTGTACAAAATGGGTTCTGAATGCTAGGAAGGAAGTCGTTGGGTCCTCCCGTTCACGGGAAGGCTGCCCAGGCTAGAGCCTGAGAAATGGAGATGGAGGGGAAGGGACAGAGTGGCTACTGAGGTCCGGTACCTAACCTGTGTCAGAGTCTCCTCTCACCTAGACAGGCTCCCGCGGCAGACCTCTCCCTCCCAAGCTGCCAGCGCGTCCCTTTTCCCTGTGAGTCTTTGATCTCCATTAGTGAAACTGTTCCCCAGCTTCAGGCAGAAGGGAAGGCCGTGACCTCGTCCGTCCGTCCGTCCGTCAGTCCGTCTCAGCGGCAGGGTTTCATTGGAGCACAAGTGAAGCGGTCCTTCCCTAAGCGGCTCTCCTCTTCCCACCTCTCCCGGCCGGCGGCTTAAAACCCTTGAGCCCCAAGAATCCGCCCATTTAGGTAGCCTGGGGAACAGGAGAGTCCGATGGGGCCTTGGGTAGAGCTAGCTGGAGGTGAATGTGGATTGGAGCAAGGGGGCCAAGGGGCGGGCGAATGAGAGAGTGCGGGAAGGTGCTGGGCTCAGTCGGGGTAGATGATGAAGCCTGAGAAGGTGCTGTACTTGTTGGTGTTGCCGCCGTGAACTTTCCCACCGTCCAGCTTGATGAAGACCTCGTCACCCACATCTAGGTGTAGGATGACGCTGTTGCTGGCGTAGTCGTAGTTCTGATCCGCATCCTGAGCAATGGCGCTGGCCCGGACCTGGGGGGGAGGACGAAAAAAACAGACCCACATCCTGTGCAGAGCTCAGTTAACTGGGGCGTTGAGTCCTGTGCCTGCTGGAGCGAGCTCGGCTTAGGTATGGGCGGTGGGGGCCACACGAGCGTTTCTCAACCTATGGGCGTCCAATGACTCTTTCGCGGGAGTTGCGTATTAGATATTTACCTTACAACTCACAACAGTAGCAAAATTAGTTATGAAGTAGCAACAAAATTATTTTATGGTTGGGGTCACAGCATTAGGAAGGTTGAGACCCACTAAGGTAGGAGACTGCAGGGCTTCTCAGACATGACTTGGGGGCACACATGTACCTTCTCTGGGCCTCTGTTAGAGCAATGGGGGTAATAATAATGGAACCTACCCCACGAGGTGGTTAGGATTAAATGAGCAATTACCCCTGGAGTGAGTTCAGAACCATATTCTGTATACAGAAAATGTTACGTAGAATTGCTATTCTCATGCTAAAAAAAATAAAAATAGCTTTCAGGATTCTTCCAGGAGGCCATGCTCAATTGGAATTCCTAAACTAGCTTTTCTGTGGGACTGGGGGATACGTGTATCCACACCTGTGTCAGGCCGGTAGGAAAGTGAACTGTGTCGCTCTGGCCTCCTGGGCCCCGGTTTCCCTGGGGAGTGTTCAGCGGGTCCCCCACCTTGTGGAGGGCTGCCTCTGGTCGGGCTCTCTGGTCTGCAGCAGCCACACCGCCGGCCCCTTCCCTCAGTTCCCATCCCACCGGGACCGGTTATTAAATCATTAATTATTCATCATTATTCTAATCATTATTTACCATTCCCAGGGCCGCAGTGTCGGCTCCGTGGAATACAGAGTGGGAGCTGTGCCACCCCACCCCCTCCAAAACCAACACACCCCAGCCTCCTGCCGGATTCCTGGCACAGACCAAATCTACCTACTCGGTGCCACAAGAAGAAAGACACCAGGCTTTCCTTAGGCTTTGCCATTCCCCGGTCACAGGTGCACTGGATCATGTGGCCATTCACCATCAACCCCAGGAAGATGCTCAGAGCCTAACAGCTCCCTTCCCTCAGGCTCTGGAGGGAGGGACTTGCTAGGAACAGACCCCAAAGATGAGGTTGGTCTAGGGGTGACGTTCTCTTGGAACCCAGGAGCTTTTCAGCTCCTATAGAGCAGGGCTCAAGGCTTAGGGAGCCCCGAGGAGTAGACCTGATGCACCAGGGCCCCACCCCCTCCGTGGAACATTCAGAGGTCACTGCTCGGTCCAAACCTTCCTCTTCCTGCACAGTATAGGCAGCCCCCTCCACCCCAGCCTATGGCATCTTGCTAGTTCAAATGCCGGAGTCTTTTGGGGAGCTGGTCCCTCAAACCTAGGTGGCAACGATTTTGACTCCCCCCTGAAGCAGAACGTAGCGGCATCGGAGAGGTTCCCAGGGAGGGTGTAAGGCCTGTAGACCAGGCCTCCTCTCTTCCTGATCATCACCTCCTAGCTTTTCCAAACCAACATTCAATGGGTCCATCCTTCCACCTATGTGGCCCCTGGGCCGGTTTCCCACAGCCGCCTACAGAGTCAGTGTTAGCGGAGGGCAAGACTTGGTCTAGGTTTGCCCCGGCCCAGGGGATGAACAAATAGGACCGCTACCTAGCAAATGGGCAAAAGAGTGTTTTTTTTCCTTTTTTCGCCTTTTCTTTGAAAATCCAAGCTGAATGACTCCGCCTGGGGGGAGATGGCCACTACCCAAAACAAGATTCCATTCTGATTCCTTGAATCCAGAGTCCCTCATAGCTAGTTCCATGCCAGGGCTGGGAAAGCACTGACTGAGAAGACAGCAGGCAGCCCCCAGACAGGCAGAGAAAAGGCCCTGAGGGGTAAGGCAAGCACCAAAGACATGATGTGGCAGGCTGCGGCTGGAGGTTGGTGAGTTGATACAGAGGCATGCTTTGAGTCCTGAGTTCCAGCTCTGACATCACTCTAACGCTCCGGGAGACTTCGGACAGGTGACTTTCTTTCCCAGGCCCCCCCCCCCATTCCTCCTCTTTTGATTAAATTAAGTGACCAATTTTTGGTGGCCTAGCATTCTTGGATACCTGATAGTGTTTCAGGGGAGGAGCTGGGTTGCGACTGAGTGCAGGGAATTTTAGGAGGTCCCTAGTGAGATCTGGGGCTAAGGAGAGGGGTAATCTCACCTGTCCGTTCTTCATCAAATCGGCCCACATGCTGGTGCCGTCGCCACCGCGCATGAGCACATGGTAAGCGAAGAAGTAGACGCCTGGCATGGGACAGGTGAACTTGCCGCTGGCTGCCTCGTAAGCGTTGCCCACGTTGGTCACCACGTCGTCAAAGCGCAACACTTCATAGCCCTCGTGAGGCCGCCGGAGACCCGCGTAGAAAGCAATTCGGGGTATATAGCCTGCAGGGGGCGCTGCCCCTCCAGGGCCTGGGCCAGGAGGACCTGGGGGACCTGGCCTGCCTGGCTCGCCGGGGGGCCCTCTGGGACCTGGAGGCCCTGGGGGTCCCCGCAGGCCTGCCTTCCCTCGGCGACCCACCTCTCCCTTGGCACCTGGAGGGAAGGGAGGCGCCGAGGCGGGAGCGCCGTCGGGGCCTTGGCCTCGGGGTGCGTGGGGGTCGCACACCATGCGACATCGACCCAGCATCTCGTAGTGTGTTGGTCCGCGGGAGCTGTGCACCAGGAGCGGGATGGCTACCAGCAGCAGCAGCACCATGGCCACCCCGACGGCCGCGCCCGCCACCCGCTTGCGGCGGCTCAGCCGTGACGCGGCCAGGGCCAGCAAATCCTCCTCACTTTTGGGCGCAATGGCGGCGGAGGCCCGGGGCTCTCCGCGGGCTCGGGCCCCGGTGCGGATCTCCCGACGGCTGTGCCCGACCACCTTGCCCCGGCGGATGCCTCCTGTCACCGTGGAGCTGTTCCCCAAACCGCCGGTCAGAGTGGAGGTCTCCCCCGTGGGTTGGGCCAAGGACAGCCCTTGAGGGTGCAGAACCTGGAGTCTGGTGTCACCCTCGGGTGCAGTTCGAACGATCCAGGGCGCCTGAGAGCCACAGCTTCTTGGACGGCTGGTTTCCCACAGGTCTAGGATGCCTGCTCTCCAGACAGTTGCTTTCTTGCGGATGGCGGTGTCTGGGTCCCGGGCGCCCTTCGCCGATTTCTCCCGGCTAGACCGGGAGACCTCTCCCCGCTCTCCCGACGTCCCAGTCTGTGAGCTGCAGGGGGGCTCTCACTGGACGCGACCTCGTCGATTTTGCACTTTAGCTCTTGGAAAGCACAACCTGCCTCCCTCAGCAGCCTTGGCCTCAGCCCTCGCCAGAGCCCTAGCCAGGCGTCCCTCTCCCGCAAGCGCTCTCCCTCTCTGCGTCCCTAACCTTCCTCCCTGGCAGCAGTGCGGGTGGTGTGAGTCGCCGCGCGGCAGGAGCCACTATAAGCGGCCGCAGGCGGAGCGACCCCTGGCGCCCAGAGCGGGAAACGCGGGGGCGGGGCAGGCCGCGCCACCTCCCCCCACCTCCCCGCCGAGCCCCCCAGCCTCCAGGTTCCCTGCCTGCACCCGGGGCTT